TTCCCTCTTGCATCATCTCTAATCTCATTCAACCTTTACCTCGGGTCATCCGCCCTTGTTCTTGTCCTTGAGAAAATTCATCATCCATAATAGCTCCGATTATCTGAAACTTACAGGTGTAAGCTTAGAATTTGTCCAGAGATTTTCTTTTAATGTACATAGCAAATTAATTCTATAATTAGAACGTGAACTTCATTTTAAAAGTTGCACATTAAATAGTTAAGTTGTGTAGGTTACTTTAGTCATATTTATTATTGGTACAGATTAATCATACTGCAATAGTTATAATATTGACAAATTTATTTCGTTTTCATTATGTCGTATATTATCAAACGAAACAGAGTTTCATTATCAGTATTACGTTTTTAATTTTCACGAGTTATACGAAAAAAAGACGGTAGAATAATAAAAAAGCAATCGTATAAATGGTCTAATTTCAAACTTTAAAATCAACAATTACAGTTATACTTAGTAGGAAAATATGCGAAATATCACTTTATATACACGAAAAAATACATTATTCGAGCGGTGCACAGGTAGAAAATAAAAGGGTTGATTCCAACTATTACACTTTATTTCACTTTCTACAATACTATTTCGATTCCACGTAGAAAACAAAACGGTAGATTCAAACTATCACACTTTGGTTCACTTTACAATTTAAACTTATACACAATTCAACTTCACTTCACGTCTTACTGCGGCGACTCGAGTTGAGCTAATGCCACTCTCCATTTACTAATCAACCTTTCGCACTCGTTAGCAGGGTGGGGCGGCATCATTTCCGCCCCACTCTTTTGCAGAAATCAAAACATTATTCTTCCGGTTAAATTATACATTACATACATAAACACTCACGCCTGTCACCCAGAGGGGTAGGCAGAGACTACGGACGTCCATTTGGCACGATCCTGACATACCTCTTTCGCCTCCTTTACATCCATATAACTACGCATACATGCTCGTCGGTTAAGGGTACTTCTAACGTGGCCCATTTTCAAAATATCGCCAATTTGGTCGATAAACTTTTTTCTAGGGCGTCCCTTCCCGACTCGGCCATTCACATCTGCCATATAAATTTGCTTTGTCACTCTTTCCTCATTCATTCTTTCTACGTGACCAAACCACCGAAGCATTCCTTTCTTAATCCTGGTCACAACATCATCTTGCATACCACATTTATCTCTTATCACGCAATTTCTCACCCTGTCATTTAGATTCAACCCTAGCATATTCCTTAAAGACCGCATTTCTACAGCATTTATTCTACTTTCGTGCTTCTTCTGCCACACCCAGCTTTCACTACCATACATTAAAGTAGGGACTAACACAGCATTATGAATTACCATACGTGCCTGTTTTGACACATTCTGGTTCTTCATAATAGAGTGTAGTGCCCCATTCACTCTATTCCCTGCATTTACTCGTCGTTCTATATCCCTATCATATCTACCATCCCTGCTAAATACACATCCCAAATACACAAACTCACCCACTTGCTCAATTAACTCTCCTTCTATTCTTATTTCACATACCGTTTTGCTTTCTTCTCTTTCAAAAACCATCACTTTCGTCATACTTGCGTTCACTTTCATTCCCCTTTCTTTTAATTCCCAGTTCATTAATGTAACCATCATTTGCAACTCTGCCGCCGATGACGCAAATATGACTTGATCATCGGCATATAAAAGGCATTTGACGGTTAACTCGCCCATTCTTAACCCACATTCTTCATCTTTCAAAGTTTGCAAACACCGGTCCATAAATAGGTTGAACAGCCAAGGGGAAGCTACACAGCCCTGTCTGACACCTTTTTGGATGCCAAACCAGTCCGAGTAGACCCCATTGATCCTGACAAAAGCACTAGAGTCCCTATAAAGAGACCTTAATGCCTGTATCAAACCAGCGCTCAACCCATATGAGTTCAGTGTTTGCCATAACACATTCCTGTCCACTCTGTCATAAGCCTTTTCCAAGTCCATAAACGCACAAAAAACTTTCTGGTTTTTGGCCAAAAACTTCTCCGCAATCATGCGCATGGAAAAGACTTGATCTGTACACCCCATTCCCTTTCTAAAACCCGCTTGCACATTAAACAGTTACCGCTTACACAGTTAAATTATATTACTCTATCTATTATCCGTAATCATTAATGTTAACAGCTAATAGTAATTATAATACAATGTTAAATCGAGTAATTCTGTTATAAACAATATTATAATAGTTATTACCCTAACATTAATCTAACAATAACCAATAATACCCAATAATAGTAACCTAACATTATACAACACGTAACGTAATTAACGCACTTTGAGAAAGTAGTTTGTTCAGAATCATTTACTGAATCGATTCCTATCATTTTTAATATAGGTAATTTGTTATCCCAAAAATAATTAAAACTACGTAAATGACAGTCACACTAAATCTGTACAGTCAAAACAAACTGAAATGGACCGTAACTTAAGGCAATAAGACTTTTAAGAGTGCAGTTTTATTTGTATTATTACTAATTCTGTCATTCAATAAAAATAAAGAAAAATGAACTTTATTTCGAGCACGTTAAAGTCTTTGCGTTCGTGGATTTGTACTGCGACTACTACATTCTTCCGAAATTAGTATAACTAATTTGATAAATAATCAGTGCATAAAAATGTTAAACCAAAAATTCAATGTATGTATTATGATTATAACATAATATACTAATTGGGGTGTCTGAGGGTGTGCGTTAATTACGTTACATATTGTATAATAGTACCCGGATGACCGAGCTTTGCTCGGTTTTTTTTTTTTGAAATTACATTTATAAATTACATACTGATGAAACTTAAATAATATTTTTTGATCTTATTGACAGAATAGAAAAAACTGAACTGATTATTTGAATAAAAAATCATGAGTGCAATTAGTTTTATCTATTAAAATTTTCGTATTTTTAAAAATTACTAAGAAAGGGCTTGAAATAATAAATTTCTTACAAAAGAAGGGAACTTGAAAAAAAAAAGGAAAAAAGCTAGACCAGAGACAGGACGCGAACCACGGAACTCTGATATCACGCCCGACCGACATCCCACCTGAGCTACAACGATCGCTAGTGATCTGCCGAAATTTACCTTCTTATATTGTAGCAGTTTTTTTTATTGCCTGAAAACACGGACAAAAGGACATTTTCTAAAAATAAATCCTAGCTAGATCGATAAAAAATTATAACAATGAAAAAACGTCTTCCTCGACAATAAAACAAAAAAAAAAAATAAGATTCACCAACCATGTTTCTTCGACAAAGATTTAAAAAAGATTCATTTTTACGAAAAATAGATTCCGAATAAAATATTGATATATTTTTACAGATGGAGACACTATAAAAAAGTATATATATATAAAGTATATAAAAAAAAATATATAAAAGTAAAGTAAAGTTACAGCCTATATACGTCCCACTGCTGGGCTCAGGCCTCCCCTCATTTCTGAGAGGGTTTAGAGCAAGGAAGTGTCCGCCGCGCTGCCCAAATGCGTGTTGACGAAGTTCACATGTCTTCGAAATATTTTTTTTCTTATTCCTCAGACATGCGGGTTTCCTCACGATGTTTTCCTTCACCGCCGAGCACGTGGTAAATCAGCACTTAAAATTGCAATTAACAATTTCATTGGTGCCGGCGGGGCTCGAACCCGGGTTACTCGCGTTCTGTTATATTTACAGCGAGCGTTAACTACTGAGCTACCACGGCTCTTATATATATATATATATATATATATATACAAGAATTGCTCGTTTAAAGATATAGGATATTAAGTTATACACATCTAGGTTCCGCATTAAAATATTAAGGTGCGCCCAGGGAAGCGAGCGGGTATTAGCTAGTATTGTAAAATTCAAATTATAGTCATTATTATTAAATTAATTACGTATTTACAGATTCTGTCGCGATCCAAACCAGCCACGGATAACCGCGCAGGCAGCCATTCAGCTAAGAAGCATTTCCCACAGCTTGAAGACTTCATATTAAAAAGAGACTATGTCGGAGCGATCACTTTACTCGAAGTATAATATTACAATTTATGACATTAATGCATATATATTCTTTCTGGTTAAGATTTAGATGTAATTATAAAAATAAAACAAAGTAACAACCTCCATACGCCCCTTTGCTAGCCACAGACTTCGTTCTCCTCGTCGCCGTCGTCAGACTTTTAAGAGTATGCTCCATTGAAATAAAATTAAATAAAAACTGTTTATTTTAATACATTTTTATATACAATATAGCCTAGATCTAAGCACTGATAATTTTATTTCGCATAATCCATCTATGGAACTAAGGATCTTCTGCTATTAAATCGATCGCTAGAACATTTGTCTATTATTTGAACTCACAGGGAAGATGTTGGCAATTGAAGAAAATGTTCGCATACTTTACATCCATCTATCTATTACAGCCTATAAAAATGCTGAAGATAGGCCTCCACCATATGTTGCCTCATATTGCGGATTAAATCCGTGTAATATCCAACAAATTTTTTTATTATTGTTGGATATTACACCACTATTATGTACAAGGTCAATACTTCACTACTACTCCTCTAAAAACACTGCAATTGAGTTACACTGGTGGGAATCATTTGTCGGAGGGAATCACTAAGCAACTGTTGTTTTTGTTTTTGAATTATTGTAACATTTCTTAACCTAAAATAAAATTAATATACAATACAACAAAATCAAACGTCAATCGAGAAAATAAAACCCACGAGTAATTATTTCCACAACATGTATGATATCCATTAGCAGATTTAATCCGACATGAACACTTTTTTTTTTTAAATTTGGACTTTAATAAATTGCAATCGTTACAAAATTCTTCAAATATAGGGAAGTTCATAAAGCACAATCATCGAATACTCGTAGTTGTACATTATTTATGTTTCATAAAAAATAACGCAAATATTCGCTTCTATTAAAGTTCCTCAAGCACGAGAACACTGACGATGTTTGGGTGGACGTGTGGATGGGCTGGTGCTGGTTCCATCTTGGCGAGTACCGTCGCGCGTTGGAACAATATCTGCAGCTCCGCTCACGTGAAAATCTGGACTCGCGTATCGCTGATAATATGGCTATTGACCTCGCTGTATGCTATTTTTATTTAGGTAAAAGTATTTTACAGTCCTATATACATTTCATTCATTTTAAACCAAGAGATCTGGTTTTATAAAAAATGAAACGTACGTCGGTCAAAAATACCTGTCCTTTTAGCTATGTTATATTAATTACAAAAATGGGGTAACAATCGGACCGAATTTAAATTTAAAATGGCAACAGACATCAGACAAATATTCATTTAAAGCCGTGAGTTTAGTTGCTCGAGGAAAATGCTAAATATTAAAGTCTAGTTTATTTCTTACTGTTATTTTATCTTATTTATATTTTATCTCTACATGGTACATCCCTCATTTCTTTACAGATAAACAATAATAATAAACACTCCTAATCGCTTTTTTTACAGGGATGTACAAGGAGTCTCAAGAAGCAATTGAGGAGGCGCCTAAATGCGCTATTAAGGTATGTTTTTCGAGAGATGATTTCTTTTAAATTAACCCTTTCACTGTTCCGTGTACTACATATGGGTCATTGCTATTGGCTTACTATTGTGATACCCATAGAATACTATAATTCAAAATAAAATGGCTGTCAACCTTATTTTATACGATAGGCGTCACATGGGAGCACACATACAAGCAATAACGTCGTATTATCGCTACTACAAACCCGATTCGCTGTGTTGACAGACAGATTTTAATACATATTTATTTGTAAATAGCGTGCAATTTGGCATTTTCTAAATAATTTGCACGGGAAATTTGGAAACGATTGTAACGTCAAAACACATCTCGTGTTGACATTTATACGTGTGAATTGACGTGTTAGTGACATCTTAGTGGCTACACGGGCTCCGCCCACTCCCCCGTTCTATTATGTATGTATTATAGTATTTTATGGTGATACCATCCACATCATCTGGATGCGTGGCGATCCACCGCTGTGCGTTTTACTAGGAGTTTTCTTCTTCGTACAACGTCTTTGTAGAAGAAAGAGTTTATTTCTTTCTAAAAGTCCGGCAACGCACTTGCAACAATATAATATAATAATAGCCAATGGTATTGCAGTTGTTCATGGACGGCGGTAGTGACTTATCACCGGGTGAGCGGCACGCTCGTATGGCCTATTTGCTATAAAAAAATATTCCGTCCACCATCCATTACAGCTTATAAAATTCTGCTAAACATCATATTATTTAGGAATTTATTTTTAATTCCATTTCAAACCATCAATAATTAAATAATTATTATAATTTAAGTATGTGAAGGTAATATGGTCATCCGGTTAATATGGTCAATTTCTTATAACTCAAAAACTACAGCCTTGTCTGCATAGATGGCTCTATGATACGATAGCTCCTTATCAGTCAATCAAATAATAAAGGCTCAAAAGGGCACTGCTTTATCGACGCCATTTTTACAGTTGACATTATAGTAAATATTTAAGTCGATTTTAGTATTGTGTAGTGAAGTTAGGTGTTTTTAAGTTGATTTTTCGAAGTGTTTCTTATTATTGCCAAAGCTTGTTTGCTATTTTTTTTTCTAAATATATTAGTTGTAGTATACGACTTTGTGTTTTTGTCTCTGTCCTTTTTTAGGATAGGATGACAAACGAGCACACAGTCCACCTGATGGTAAGTGGTTGCTATGGTGTGGTGTATCATCGATTACGAATCAAAATGCAGATATGTTGTCACCCCTGAGGATTAAGATGAATATTGCCTCGTTTCCAGTAAAAAGGGTCTCCGGTTGTCTACACTCACCATACGAAAGACAGCAGCATTAAGCTACTATTTTACGCTAGTATTCGGTGAGAGCGTGGTCCTTCTTCGGTCGAGCCGACCCATTCGTGCTACAACTATACTACTAATATAACTGCAGTATGGTTCTACAATGTCCTCCTAGTTTTGATTTTGTAGGGCGGCAAAGCTTAAGGTGACCATATCCCTCACGTACCTTAATGATTTTAAGAAGGTGACTGCTGATTATAACTTCTTTATCAGCCCGTAAATGTCCACTATTCCATGTTTAGTGGAGATGGGCACGTAGGGAATATTTGACTCAATCGTCACGCCTACAGGCAGATTGATGATTGCGGTATCAGAGGTCTTGCACTTGCTCTTGCTCGTTGCTGGCCTAGGTATTGTACCATTGTACCTACGTTTGGCGTTAACGAAGCGGTTATACCGCCATGTGGGTGGGTTGATCACCATGGGTTGTTATAAAAAATTTCTGGCTTTGCCCTTAGTAGTGGATTCTCTTACGCCACTACGAACAAAATAAAACCCGAATATTATGAAAAGTGATACTAATACGGAAATAATTCCCGTTGCCTTTAGGCAAAGGCAATGGGGAAAAAAATGGTTGATTGAATAATTAAAGCGTCTACTTATGTCACCGTTACAGATATCAATAAAATAATTTACTATGTTTTATCTTACAAAGCTTAAAGCTTATGGATCTTTGGAAAAAAGCATCATACATAATAATTTAAAACTAAATTTACTATGTAGTTGTTTTAGTTGTTACGATTCGCCAATTAAGGCAGACAAAGATCATTTACGATACAGCCTAGTCTGGTGCATGTTTTATTCACAAAATTCTTCTTAGTATACTAATGCATTATTTTAGGATTCCATCTATGCTAGTTATTACTCCATATAAGCTTAATTGAAAAGTACATTTACTAGCTGTTGTTGTTGTAACGAGTTTCTAATTAAGGCAGGCAAAGTTCGTTTACCATACAGCCTAATCTGATGTGAATTTAGTTCGAACTAGAATATCTTGAATTCCTGACTTACTGCAGTAGTATGACTTTAGAAAACATTGTTCAGAATTTCAAATTCTATATTTTGACACATTTTTTATTTGTAGACGCAATTTTTAAAAATAATGTTAAAAACATTTGTTTGGGAGTTCGCCATTGTCTTTTGAAGTGATAGTATGGAAGAGACATATATATTATTTTGACTTAAAATATTGTTGCTTCTGTAAGTATATCGGGTTTCTGTTAACAGAACCGCCTGCAATTACACTTGGCACATAAGCTGGGCGACGAGGAGTCGCTGGTGCAGGCACACGCAGCGCTGAGAGACGTATCTGAGGACCAGCTTAGTCTAGCCGCGGTGCATTATTTACGAGCGCACTACCAGGAGGCCATCGACGTGTACAAGAAGCTTCTGCTCGAGAGAAGGTCGGAAAGTGATTTTAATTATACGAATTACACGGTGATCAGAATATCGACAACGACGGCACCTCTCGCCCTCTCGGGCCCAACTATAGCAAAAAAAAACATCCAATTGACCACATCACCACCCTATACTACTTGAGTTACTTACCCGCCACTGCGGTTACTGTAATTATGTTTGCTGAACGATTTCTACCTTTGCCTAAATTGCCATTTGCCGTTGTGATTATTGCAACACTTCGCTTGCAGTCGCTTTGTATAAATCATTCATAGCACCTAGATCGGCGACGGGGTGCAGCGTCACGGTGCGAGACCTCTGGTACTGCGCTCATTAATCCGCCTGCTATGCGTGGCGATTACGACAAATCCTCCATCTAAGAGAGAAGGCCTATGTTCATATTCGACTGAGAGATAGAGTATGAGTAATGTAATTTTTTAAGGGATAGGGGTGACAAACGAGCACAGTTGATGTGACCCAAAGACATCTACTTCTATCCTCGATTACCAATCAAAATGTAGATGCGCTATCACCCGTGATGACTACGATGGAATGTAGGTGAGTGTAGAGAACCGGAGATCCTTTTTACTGGAAACGAGACATTCCATCGTAGTCCTCAGGGGTAACAACGCATCTGTATTTTGATTCTTAATCGAAGATAAATGAAGATGTCTAGAGGCCACAGCATCCACTTAACAACAGTTGGATTGTGTACACGTTTGTCATACCTATTCTATAAAAATATATGATCGAAAGATGTTGGTATTTTAACAAGTATTGCTTATTGGGAAAAATGAAAAAAGTACAGTCTAATATGATATCGCGTATTTTTATCATCATCATCATCATCATTACAGCCCTTTACAAGTCCACTGCTGAACATAGGCCTCCCCCAAGGTATGCCACAAAGTACGGTCCTGAGCCACCTGCATCCATCCTTCCTGCACGTCTTACCAGGACGTCACTCCTTCTAATGGGGGGTCGTCCTACACTTCGTCTACCGGTACGAGGCTGCCACTTGAGAACCTTTTTTCCCCAACGGTTGTCGGTTCTTCGAGCTATATGGCCGGCCCATTGCCACTTCAGCTTACTAATCCGTTGGGGAAATCCGTCAGTCACTCTGTTTGTACTGCGGATATCCTCATTTCTAAGTTTATCTCGCAGAGAAACTCCGAGCATAGCCCTCTCCATAGCTCGCTGAGTGACTTTGAGCATCCTCATACGGCCAGCAGTGAAGGACCACGTCTCAGTTCCATATGTCATCACTGGCAACACGCACTGGTTGTACAACTTAGTTTTGAGGTATACCTGACGAGAAGATGTGTCGTAATTTCCCGAACGCTGCCCAGCCGAGTTGAATCCGTCGATTGACCTCTCGGTCGAAGTTGGACTTACCTAGCCGGACTATTTGTCCCAGGTAAACGTATTCGTCAACAACTTCGAGCATAGTGCTCCCAACAACTACCGGCATAGGTGTGACATGGACATTAAACATGATCTTTGTTTTGTCCATGTTCATCTTAAGACCTATCCGTTGGGAGACACCATTGAGGTCATTGAGCATAGTGCTACGGTCCTCCAGCGATTCTGACATAAGGACTATATCGTCGGCAAATCGAAGGTGAGTGATGTACTCGCCATTGATGTTAATACCGTATCCTTTCCAGTCCAGTAGCTTGAAAACGTCTTCCAATGCAGCGGTGAAGAGTTTCGGGGAAATAACGTCACCCTGTCTTACACCTCTCTGCAGTTAGATAGGTTTCGTACTCTGGTTCTGTACTCAGATAGCCATCGAAGCCCTACTGTACAAACACTTCAGCACTTCGATATACCGACAGTCAACTTGGCACCTCTGAAGAGACTGTAGTACCGCCCAAATTTCGACGGAATCAAAGGCCTTTCTCATAGTTCACATACGCCAAGCAAAGTGGCAGATTGTACTCTTCGGACTTCTGTACAATTTGCCGAAGGGTATATATGTGGTCTATGGTACTAAAGCCTTTCCGGAAACCGGCTTGTTCGGGAGGCTGGAAGTCGTCGAGTCTGCGTGCGAGACGATTCGTAATGACTCTCGAAAACAGCACGTAGACGCGGCTCAGAAGGGATATCGGTCTGTAGTTTTTCAAGAGGGCGTTGTCACCTTTCTTGAAGAACAAGACCACCGCACTTCTGCTCCATGCCTCCGAAGTAGTGCCACCATGAAGGACGGAATTAAAGACCTCTGAAGACCCGCTTTCAGAGGCTCCGCTGTAATTCCATCCTCGCCCGGGGACTTGCCGTTTTTAAGGTGCTGGAGAGCCATTCTAATCTTGCTCAGACTGACGTCCGGGATATCATCGGAATAGTGTCGGATAAGACCCGCTCTTGGATCGTTACTCACACTTGCGTGTGGCTCCAACGATAATGTGTACAGCTGCCCATAGAACCTCTCAATCTCACTCAGAATCTCAGGTGTCCCCGAAACGATGCTGCCACACTCAGTCTTTAGCTTTGAACAGTTGGCTCTTACTGGCAGACAGATCTCTGGCAAAGACTTTGGAGCCCTGGTTCCGCTCAATCGCTTCTTCAATACGAGCAGTATTAAATTTGCGTAAGTCTCGCCGCATGCATTTGGAGATCTGTCTGTTCAGTTGCCTGTATGCTGTCAAATCTGTTGACGATTGCAGCCTCATCTCCCGTCTAACAGCCATGAGATTAAGAGTGTAATCGGAGAGCTTTTGTGTTCTTCTGCGGCCGGTCTTGCAGAACTTAGCTCCGACCGCATGGACAGTTTCCACGAACTTGTCATTCATATCGTCCACTGCATTGCAATCTTCTAGGCACTGAAAGCGGTTGCGTAACTCGAGCTGAAATGTTTCGGGATTCTGGATTAGAGCACGAGGGGGACGGAGCGTTGACTTCATTAGACGAGACCTCTCCAACTTAACATTTAGGTTCAGTGTACCTCTAACCATTCGGTGGTCGCTGCCAGTTTTCACCCTTGCGATCACTGAGACATCACTGAACAGTTGGCGTCTGGTCGTCATAATGAAGTCAATCTCATTTTTTGTCGAACCGTCCAGGCTTGACCAGGTCCACTTCCTGTGGGGCCGCTTCTGGAAGAAAGAGTACATCATAAAGAGTCCCTCTTTCTCCATGAAGTCGGCCAGCTGCTGGCCCCTACGGTTCCGTTGCCCTACTCCAAATTTCCCTAACTTCAGCTCATCGCTTTCTCTTGTGGCTAGTTTTGCGTTGAAGTCTCCCATCAATACCGTGTAGTGGGTTTTGGAGGAATACATGGCATGGATGTGCCGAGGTTGGTGCGTAAACCTGTATAACCTTCAGCGAATACCGTTTGGTGATTCTGAGTATCAGGTACGCGACCCTCGTCGACACACTCCCAATCTTTACGACGTTGTTGACGAGAGACTTGTGGACCATAAATCCGATACCTCCTTGGGACAGGTGGTCGCCCTCCCGATGTTAGAACAAGTTGTCGGACTCGAGGATTACCGTGTCCTCCCCCTCTCTTCGGACCTCGGATAATCCAATAATATGCCAACGCAACTTGTCTACCTCTTCTTCCAACTCCAGTATCTTCTCGGCAGTCCTCAGGGTGCGTGCGTTATTTGTTGCCAGAGTCGTCGTAGGTGGCAACCGAACCTCCACCGGAGATTCTTAGCACCCACTGCCCTGCCGTTACCATGTTCGCCACCGTAGCCAGGAATAGCGGGGCCGCCGGGGACTGGGGGCCGTTTGTTTGCGTCGTTGTCGTCGTTACTCATGGTATTTTTATTGATGAAATAATTTTACTATTACCTGAATTTCACTCATCTACTAAATTATGAAAAACCACTCTTTAAAAGTTTGTCTTTTTACTTATTAGCAAAAAAAAGACGTTCATCGTCATAAATTGTTTTAATGATTTTTATGAATAAGACCATAACGTTATTGGATTACAGATACAAAAGATATGAAAACGATAGTACCGAATGGACCAAAATTCTGTCACACACGAAGGGGTATAAAAAAAAATATTTTAAATGTATTTATCTTAGATAGGTAACGACTTATTTACACAGAGTACATTATGATATTATACTATATATGATTAATTGGCGTAGACGTAGAGCCACTTACATAATTTAAATGTAATTATTAACAATATGTATTAATTTAAATATTAGTTTCATTTTAACTAATACATAATACACAAGTAGATTTTAGTTGATTAAAGAAAAGTAAAAATAAGTAATCTGTAAACACTAATATTTACTTTTCAAAACATGCATCAAATAATTTATGTAGGTAGGTATGAGGGCGTTTGTACACTCACTCGTATTCAGTTCGTTTTCAATTCATATTCGTGTTTTTCATCATAAAAACGCATCCAAAATTCAAGAATGACCATTTGGATCTGAGATTTGAATATACAAAATAAAAACCTTTTGTAAACAGATATCCTGAGATTCCAATATACAAAACAAAAATCTTTCGTGTGTGCTGCATCTATCGTCGTCAGCTTTTCGCACTTTTCCATGCATTATGCAGTACATAAAGAACCGCACATTTACTAAGAAGGCTATTTTGAACCATATTTTTACGAATCATGAAAACGCATTGAATACGAGGGAGTGCACAAACGCCCTAAGGATTTTTTACCGAACCATTGATATAAGAAAAAATACTTTCAATGATTATTGCTGTTTAAAATGTATGTTAAATTATTCTACTTTATTCTATCGTTTATTTAAAGTGACTTTCTTAAAAAGTGTAGAAATTTTGTTCTGAACTTTAATTTTAGTTGGTTTATATATAGTATTGCTATTAGATATAAAACATTGTTAAATTTACCCAGGTTTTAATAAATATGGAATGAATAGTTAGTAAGAAGACAAAGAATATTGAATTGACAATTAATTTTTACTGAATATCACAATAAAGAATAATGGCGGCGGTAATGTTTTCTTTTGAAGTCAAAACTTCTTTGGAATCGTGATTTCAAACTCGATGAAACGAAAAAGTGACACAAAAAAGACCGTAGACAGAGAAACCTATAGACAAATTGACGCCTTCTTTCACATTCGCACACGAAAAAATAGATTTATGCATACGTCTTGCATAGAAATGAGACAGAGCGGTGTGATTGTTTGTCCATTTCTCCGTGCCGGTTTTTGGTTTAGCAAACTACACTTTGCTAAACAACTTTGACAGTTCGTAGTGATCTAAGGAGTTTACAAGTTGGTATAAGTGAGAAAAAACTGTTTTGTGAGCTTAAGATTGGTGAATCTTGTTCAGTTCAGTTCTTAGAACAATTAAAAATTTTATCTAAATATGTTTAAAAGTCATAAAGATTATTGTATAACCTAAAACTACGTTATCGTCCTTTCTCACTCGAGGCCACGCTAATCATTAGTCTATAGGTTTCTCTGTCTATGAAATAGACAGACTTAACAATTTAGCCTGCGAGAGAATGAGATAGAATACAATATAGTGTTACCTATTAACTCGGTCTATTCTTTATAACAAAATAAACTGTTAAAATTAAATTAATAAAATTAACCTTAGTGAACAAAATTATCTTAACCATTTCATTCTTAAAAATCCAGGATTTCATAACTTACCGATTTTGACTGCAACTATAGAATGAAGTAGATGGCGCTGTTAAACAGTAATTTTACTTGCAATTTTTGGAAGGTTTCACTTCTGCCGCGTGTTTTTTTTTTTGTAATATTATCCTTAATTATTTAAAAATGAGTTACTTATGCCAACTTAAAGAAGGAAGGGTAATTTTATACTATCACGTTCCCCTCGTTTTTTGGCTCTAGAAAATAGAAAAATCATCCGACTTTCATGATTTTTTTAAAATCTTCATTATTACGGCGGATTTACGATAATAATTACAAGAATAAAAAAATGTTAACTTATATTGGTTTCAAGGCTTTAAATGTTCATGAAAATGCACTCATTCACGTATAATTGTTGATAATTTTTTTTAAATAATCAAATGAGGTTGTTATATATTTTCGTAATCTACACAAAAAAAACATTAAAAAAAAGAAACATTGAAAATGTTTGTTCATAACATTTTTATTTAGTTTTTTATTGAGTGTTAGATCGAGCGATGAGAGCTCGGGACTTAGGGCATCCCGACTCGGAAAAAAATTAGAAAATGTTTGTTTATTAATTTTTTATTTTGGTTTTTATTACATGTAACATCGAGCCATGCGAGCTTGGGACTTAGGGCATCCTGACTCAGAAAAAAATGTTTGTTTATTAATTTTTTATTTTGGTTTTTATTGAGTGTAAGATCGAGCGATGCGAGCTCGGGACTTAGGGCATCCCGAGTCGGACAGGTTAGGTTAGAAGGAGATGGCCATCCCCTTCGTGGTTATTTTTTTATAAACCACTCAGAAGTAGGAGCCCGTCGGGGCTCCGTCGACAGAGCTTTCCTCGACTGCGCTACGTTGAGTGGCGTGGTGCTTCCCTTCCCCAACTCTCCCGCAGCGCAATCGAGGGCAGCCCGATCGAAGGAGCCCTACTTCTGAGTGGTTTATAAAAAAATAACCAACTAACCTAACCTGTCCAAGTCAGGATGCCCTAAGTCCCCAGCTCGCTTCGTTCGATCTTACACTCAATAAAACACCAAAATATTAACTTTTATAATTATTTCGATTTTCTAGAGCGTTCGTGATAACATTTAAAGTCAGAAAACCATATAAAAACTTTAAGTGAGATAAAAAAATAACTTTTTAAATGTTCGTTTTTTGTGTAGATTATGAAAAAAATATAACAACTTCATTTGATTATTTAAAAAAAATTATGAACGATTATATTTGAAGAAGTGCGTTTATGATCACATTTAAAGTCATAAAACTATATGAAATCTTGAGGTGAGATATTTTCCATATTTTTTCCGTAAATCTGCCATGAAGACAAAGATTTATAAAAAATCATCGAAATCGGATGATTTTTTGATTTTCTAAAGTAAAAAAACGACGGGACTGTGAAAGTATAAAATTACCGAAGGAAGTATCCAATTCTACTAAGTATATGTTTTTGTATGTTCTGCGACATCTTCATCACTTGTGAACTAATTTTGATGATTCTTTTTATTAAATAAATAAAATATACTTCAAAAGTGGTTCCATATATGTTTGGAGAAATAACTCTATCCCTAAGGATGGCAAAATAGGTAATGAAGTTTTTAATGGAACTATTTAGACGTTTAAATTGTGATATTACTTAATCCACTCAAAAGTGTTAAAAAAAACTTATACTAAAAAGAAAAAGCAGACTTCAAACAAAGAACAAAGAAAAAATAATTTCACATTCTTAAGTCGGGGCTTTAATTCTTCTATCGTATAAGGATCTACCCACACGTACCACAACCACAACCACATCACAACCACAACCACAACACGTGGGCGGGCGTTTTTGCCGTCATTATCGAGTGCGTGAGTGATACGGTCGATATCAACAACGCAACCACTATGGAACCAGACTGAAGCGGAACTAGCGGCCGGCCACATCGCAAACACAACATTGCGTTGACGCCACGACTAGGATTGCAAAAAGCTGCAGTGCCACTATTCACACGTGACCACATTTTGTTGCTGCGATGCGGTGTGATTGTGGTACGTGTGGGCCGACTCTAAGGGACAGTTAGTTTAGTTAGATAGTAATCCAAAATTAACTTTATTTACAACGCAAAAAGATACACATTTTACCGACTTCAAAAAGAAGGAGATATTCAATTCGAAGTTATGATTTATTTTATGCGTGTTACCTCGTAACTTTTCTCTGGGTGGACCAATTTTTATGATTCTTTTTTTATCTGATCGCTGGTGCTTCTCGTGTGATCCCAAAAATTTAATCAAGATCTGACCAGTAATTTTTCTGTTATCTTTAATAATGCGTATTTATTTAATTGACTTAGATTACATTGATTCGGTCGTATTGAAATCGGTTGTACAAAATTTTTAATTTTCCACTTGTATTAAGATAATTCGAAAATGCCTCGCGGCGTAGCGCGAAGCCACAGATTAATAAATAGTTTACCAAGCGAAGCCGAGTTACGCTTCTAGACCCCGAGAAGTGCAGCAAGTCGTCGCGGCGACTTATCTCTGCTATTATTAACGGGCATCACGCTGCCAGTGACTTCATGATGCAATTCGCGACAGCCCGATGCGTCTCACGGCAATTCGTGCGAAATCACTGGCCTCTGCAAGCATCGTCGCTTCGCGTCGTGTCTCTTTGTGAGCTGACCTTTAGTGATGAAAAATAAAAATTAACGTGTGATTTTTATTGTGTTCTGCACTCCCACCTCACACCTCTGTTAGAACAACATTGATTTTAACTGCAGTTAGAAATCCATCAAAAACACATTTGAAGTTTATGAATTTGCAAAAATGCGATATTAGCTAAGCAGAGGCCTACCCAAAACCGAAAATCATGGCAAGTGGTCTACGAGACAAAAAAGCTTGGGGACCTCTGTACTATACTATACTACTAAACTCTGTACTCTGTACTATACTATACTCTGTACTCTATACAATAGTACGTAGACAGAGAAACCTATAGACTAATGATTAGCACGGCCCCGAGTGAGAAAGGACGATAACGTAGTTTAGGTTATACAATAATCTTTATGGCTTTTAAATATATTTAGATAAAAAATTTAATTGTTCTAAAAACTGAACTGAACAAGATTTACCAATCTTAAGCTCACAAAACACTTTTTTCTCACTTATACCAACTTGTAAACTCCTTAGATCACTACGAACTGTCAAAGTTGTTTAGCAAAGTGTAGTTTGCTAAACCAAAAATCGGCACGAAGAAAGGGATAAACAATCACACCGCTCTGTCTCATTTCTATGCAAGACGTATCCATAAATCTATCTTTTTCGTGTGCAAATGCGAAAGAAGGCGTCAATTTGTCAATAGGTTTCTCTGTTTACACAATAGTATGTCATACCACCGATTTCAGAATGTAAATGTTTTTTTAACTGTTTGAAGTTGATTTTCACTTGCTATGAATATGACTTGTATGATTTGTATAAGTACTTCGGTCGTAAATTAATAAATTAATTACAGAACATACATGGCGCTTAACGTTTACGTGGCGTTATGTTACTATAAGCTGGACTACTACGACGTATCGCAGGAGGTCCTGGGGGTGTACCTGGCGCAGCATCCCACTTCAACCATAGCTGGCAATCTTAAGGCGTGCAATTTATTCAGGTAATTTTCTCAAGTTGGTACCTGCCCGCTTTTAATTCTCTATTTCTCCTCGGGTAATAATTTTATATCTGTATAAAAAATTTAAAACTGCCGAAATATACCAGGTAAAAATAATTCATTAATTTTAATTTCAATTTTGAAATTTCAATTTGAAAATTTCAAATTGTTATTTTTTTAAATATGTTCATCCCTTAAACTTAAAACCTCCCGGTTCATTTTGACCGGAGGAAAAAAATCATAAAACCTTGTGTAAGTATATAAAATTTTTAAGGTAATTTTTATTAGAACTTTTTTGTCTAATTTTTACCGTTTTCGAGTAATTGCGAAAAAACACTTTTTTCTCAACCCTTGGTTGGTTGCAGAACGAAAACCCTTACACATTGTTTTTGTATCATTAAATCTACATTATATCAAAAATGCAAGGTTGAATGTCAAAATTTTGATTCATTTGACTGGACTAAATACAATGATTTCATAACATACATACATAAACACTCACGCCTGTCACCCAGAGGGGTAGGCAGAGACTACAGACTTCCATTTGGCACGATCCTGACACACCTCTCTCGCCTCCTTCACATCCATACACCTCCGCATACATGCTCGTCGGTTAAGGGTACTCCTAATTTGGCCCGTTTTTAATAAATCGCCAATTTGGTCGATAAATTTTCGCCTAGGACGTCCCTTTCCGACTCTGCCATTCACTTCTGCAACATAAATTTTCTTTGTCACTCTTTCCTCATTCATTCTTTCCACATGACCAAACCACCGAAGCATTCCTTTCTTAATCCTGGTCACAACATCATCTTGCAAACCACACTCTTCTCTTATTACACAATTTCTTACCCTGTCATTAAGATTCAGCCCTAACATACTCCTTAACGACCGCATTTCTACTGCGTTCATTCTACTCTCGTGCTTCTTCTGCCACACCCAACTTTCACTACCATATGTTAAAGTAGGGACCAACACAGCATTGTGAATTGCCATACGTGCCTTTTTCGACACATTTTGACTCTTCACAATAGAGTGCAGGGCCCCATTTACTCTATTTCCCGCATTCACTCGTCGTTCTATATCCTTATCATATCTCCCATCCCTGCTAAATACGCAGCCCAAATATACAAACTCATCTACTTGCTCGATCAACTCCCCTTCTATTCTTATTTCACAAATCGTTTTACTTTCTTCTCTTTCAAAAACCATAACCTTCGTCTTACTTGCGTTCACTTTCATACCCCTTTCTTTTAATGATCTGTTCATTAATGTAACCATCATTTGCAACTCGGCCGCCGACGACGCAAGTATAACTTGATCATCGGCGTACAAAAGGCATTTGACGGTTAACTCACCCATTCTTAATCCGCATTCTTCAACTTTCAAATTTTGCAAACAACTGTCCATAAATAGGTTGAACAGCCACGGGGAAGCTACACAGCCCTGTCTGACACCTTTATGGATGTCAAAACCAGTCCGAGTAGACCCCGTTGATCCTAACACAAGCACTAGAGTCCCTATAAAGGGACTCCAATGCCCGTATCAAGCCAGCGCTCAACCCAAATGAATTCAGTGTTTGCCATAGCACATCCCTATTCACTCTGTCATAGGCCTTTTCCAAGTCCATGAACGCACAAAAAACCTTTTGGTTTTTGGCCAAAAACTTCTCCGCGATCATGCGCATGGAAAAGACTTGATCTGTACATCCCATTCCCTTTCTAAATCCTGCTTGCACATCCCAAATTTTTCCATCAGTTTCTTTCATGACCCTTTCAATCAGTACCTTAGCATACAGTTTTCCCACAATGCTAAGAAGGCTGATGCCACGGTAGTTTTTACAGTCCTGCTGCGACCCTTTTCCCTTATATACTGGGACTATCACGGCTTTGCACCAGTCTACCGGTACCCGCTTCAGTTCCCAGCATAAATTAAACAAGGTGTGCAGCAGGCCTGCCACCACTTCCTCTCCAGCCCTTAGCATTTCGAGTGAAACTCTATCATATCCGGCAGCCTTACCTGCTTTCATGCTTTTCATTGCTTTCATTATTTCACCTACACTAATCTCGCTACCTCTTTCCTCTTCTTTCGGAATTTCTACTTCACTTAGTACACACGTTGTCTCCTCACTCATAAACACGCTTTCAAAATATTCCTTCCATCTCTTTAAACTCAAAACTTCATCATTCAGAATATAGCCATTCTCGTCTCTTATAGCATTCATCATAGGCTGTTTTGAATGTCCCCTGGCAGTTCTTACAAGTTTCCAGAACATTTTAATATTTGCCTGGAAATTATCCGATATTCTTCTATCATTCTTATCCGTTCTTTCTTGCTTTTTTCTTTCAACTACTTCTTTTACTCTCTTATTAAGATGTCTAAAGACTGCCTTTTTTCTTTCAATATCATCATTCGTACCGCTAGAATTACCAGCCTTTGTTGCTAGTAAATCTAGCCATGCTCTCTTCTTTGCTTCAACTTCCATACGTACCTCATCATCCCACCATAACGTATTATTTTTCCTTTCATTCTTTCTCTTACTAACACCACATACTTCGGTAGCTGCATCCACTAAACCTTTCTTTACATTTTGCCATACATTCTCCAAGTCTAACTCCTTCATACATAATTCATCCAAACCACTTATATTTTCTTTCAGTCTACATTTGAACTTCTTTTTCTCACCTTCATCTTGTAACCTTTCTGTTCTAATACGCTGTAACGCAGTGGTAGACACAGATGACCGATGGCGCCAACGCCTGAATAGACCATTAATTCGGCATAGAACCAAATAATGATCCGTTCCTACGTTAGAACCCCGGTAAACCCTTGTATCTACAACTGCGCCCCTCAATCTTTCATCCACAATTATTAAATCTATCATGCTTCTATCGTCACCTCTTTCCCAAGTATACATGTGAATCCTCTTGTGGCGAAAGCAAGTGTTCGTCACAAAAAGATTCTTTTCCATACATACGGTGAGGAGACTTTCACCATTCTCATTTATACTTTCATCACCAAACGTTCCCAATATCCTTTCATAACCAAGCCTCCTCACCCCAACCCTTCCATTAAAATCTCCTAGCATAATAATATTTTCATTTCCCTTACACTCCATTAACACCATCCTTACCATTTCCCAAAACTGCTCTCGGATATAAGTGGGCTTAGACATGTCTGGGGCGTAGACCCCTAACACAAACAACTTCTTTAAGCCCACTTTCATTCGTATCCACAGCAGTCTTGGGCTTACACATTCATACTCTTTCACACATTGGCCCATTCTTTCTGAAAGGATGATACCTACTCCCTGGCATGCCCGCTCGATCTCGTCTACACCAGACCAGTATGCGGTATACATGCCATGTGTAGTGACATCCTTTCCCTTCCTTTTCGTCTCATTTACACATAACACATCTATTCCTCTATCATTCATCATATCGCATACTTCATCCATTTTATCATTCATTGCCCCACATACATTCAACGTAGCCAGACGGACCTCTGCAATCCACTTTTCGCCTCTCCGGGAGACAGAACGTGACGGGTGGCGAACCTCGTCGCCGGTTTTCCTCCCGGAGATTCTTCGCACCCCTGCCCCATTAAAGGGGCGCCGGGAACTCGGGGCCATTTCTATTATATTGTTCCTCATGGTGCGGACAAAGGGTGGTATATTTTACGCCTCTACCAGGGCGTGGAGCCGAGTCTGTGCTATCGGCTTGTCGCTCATTTAGCACCACCCGGGGGACACGTGTAGGGTGGGCCTAGGAATAGGTGGTCAGAGCCTACGGACGCGAGCGACTTATCCCCCAATCCAATGATTTCAAAAGGTAGGATAGGCCCATCTAAATATTTTACGCATTTTAACCTTTTCAAACAAAAAAGTAGCGCATCTGTCATAATACAAGCGTCATATCATAATACGACGTAACCAGGGTCGGATTTCGTAGTATAATTATTATCCTAATTGTACCATTATTACATAGTTTGTAGTATGTAGTATCGTAATAACACTAAGCGAAAATACCATAATTTTACCTAAAGGTCGACTTGTATTATTATTGGGTCCTTTTACTTTTTAATATTAACCCTACGGTATCGATAATTTCTGTTTTGTACATCAGCACCGCGTTTTTTAATAAAATTAGAGTTAGCTCCCTTTCTGGTCAATCGGTACCCGATCGATGCAATTATGTTGCATCCTTGATACAACTATAATGAGGGGCTACCACGATAAAAACTCTAAACTCTAAGCAATCGGTTTTAAAACAGAATTTCAAAATATTTTATGAATCAGATTTTCATATTCAATTAAGCAGAGATGGTTTCTTTTGCATTTTTTTAAATTTACCCTTATTGAATATAAAATATATTAGGTACCAATATTCATAATTTAACTTACACTAAGTTCCTTAGACAAAAATTAAACAGAAATAAAAATAAAACCGGCAAAAAACGAAACGTATAGATAAACTAGACGCGTGATGCCAAAATCCCGGCACATGGGGAAAAAAGAAACATAAAACGTCAAACGTGATATAATTTTTGAAAAATAGTATACCTTATTTTATTTTCCATGTACAATAATTTTGAGGGTCTGAATCCAACACTGGCCTAATCTTGGTAACGTAACTAAACTAACTGTAAAATAAAACTTTAAAAATGCATTTATATAATAATTTAATATTAACAAAATGAATATAAGGTTATTTAACAGACGACAGACAGATACGATATCCCATGTTCCTATTTAATCTTTGTATCGTAATTTTTGCACCCTTTTTACCTCGAAACTACACATATTTTGACAGGCAAATCTGTCTTGCGTGCGCATCACTGTCGACCGAGTCGCGTTGGCCTTGTAATTTTAGGGCCAGCACACTAGCACATAGGGTCCGTTTTGGTAGTTCGGTCGGCCCGGTCCTTACGCTAGTAATATATAAGTCAATGACTAAATGGCTGTTAGAAAAAGCCGTAAGGCATTGAGTACGTTCATTATTATTATA